CCCCAGCACCAGACTCCTCGCATAGCCCACTTCTGCCCTCTCCCAGCTCCTCCTCCTCCGCCACATGTTCCAGCAATGCTTTGCACATCGAGGTCCTATTCTTAAAACCTCCTCTCTGGCCATTTGCTCCTTCTTCTCTGTCCACCTTAGACTGTGAGCTCTGGAGGATGAAACCCCTTTAGTATTCCGTCGCTCCTGCAGCGCTGATGCTGGCACTTGGAAAAGATGAGCAAATGACTGCACCAAGTTCAAATGCCGCGGCTTCTTCCTGTACTCACTTGGCCAGAAATACAGAACAGAGCTTGGTCTGTCCCCTCGGAGAGTCCAGGGTCCGTGTAATTGGATGTGAACTCTCCTCCTGCTCCATCCCTGATCAGATATTGCCTCTTCTGGGAAGCCCTCCCTGATCTACGCTGTGCAGGAAGTCCCACCTCCTGCTGGCTCTTAGGTTATAGCCACTCCTACATCTGCGCATCTGGCCCTGGAGTCCCTCTGGTGGCTGTCTGCCCCAGGGGCTGTACCCGTTGCCTGGACATTAGTGAGGCTTCTGGAGTCAGCAGCTCTTTTGCTTTCCTCAAGACACAGTCTCTTGTCACAGTTTGGAAACATCTTTGAATATTTGAGGATGAACCAGAAATGTTCTGAATAGAAGAAATAAATGCATCTTTGTTTAATCCCATAAGCTCTGAAAACAGAACCAGGATATCTTGATAGAACTGAAGAATGAACTGTTCTGGTGTTGGGTTATGAAGCCTTGCAAGATGGCTGGGACAAGCTTTGTCCTAAGGCCAGACCCTATGCCCAGGCCCTCTTGGGCCTCCCAAATACCTTTTCCAAGATCACTAGATCACTTGCACCCAGGCCAGTGCTCTCTATGCCTTTATCACTCCACTTAGTTCTGGCTTACATCCATTGCATCTGGCTATGTTCCGTTGGAAGAACTAGTTAGTGCAGACGTGGCACCTCACCTTCTGCTGGAGGTCCTCGATGGTGCGGAAGTAGGACTGGTAGTTGGGGCTTGCGTAGGGCACCTGCTGCTGGCAGTGCTGCTGGATCTTGGACTCCAGCTCCGCGTTCTCGCGCTCCAGGTGGCGCACCTTCTCCAGGTAGCTGGCCAGGCGGTCGTTCAGGACCTGCATGGTCTCCTTCTCGTTGCCATTGAAGGCGCTGTGGCTGCCGGAGCCCCCGCAGGGCCGGGAGGAGCAGCTGGAGCGGCAGCTCAGGCTGGACTGGCAGCAGGTGTAAGACATGGTGCAAGAAGGGAGCAAGGCTCTGAAGGTGAGTTTCCAAATCTGGATCCTTCACTCTGATACAAGCCCTGGTCCTCTCTCGGCCTTTATATTCTGCCAGAGTGGGTGTGGCAATTGCACATAGGAAAAATTACCACCTTTTCCCTACTTTACCAATTTTTCCACTTATTGTTTAGCTGCCTACCATGAGTCCTTTACCTCATAAAATCTTTTACTCCAGCTTCTTGCTAAGTCAGGACTCCTCACCAATCATGCTAGTAAGGGCTTCATGGATTGCTTCAAAGTGAACAACCCATCCACTTGCCAGTAGCCATGCTTATTCACAACTTATTCAGGTGTTGTGTTAGGGTGACTACGGTCCCCCAGAGTTGGGGTCACTCCTGTGCCTCTTGCTTCTAGATGAGACAGAGTCTGAGCCTCCCACAGCATATCCTCAGGAAGGACACGTGAAGAAAGCCGTTTGAGGAACTGCTGGAAATGGGGCTGTTCCAGGGACCCCAGAAGTGGTGGTCACAAAGGACTTGCAAAGTCATCCAGCCCAATGTCCTTTATCATCCGGCCAGGGATGGCCATTCTGCCCTCTGTCCAGAAAGATGCCATTCTCTTTTTATTCAGTATTCCCAGAGCATTCGCCTGGAAGAACCACGCTGGGTGAGGCACACACAGTGTGTACAGTGAACCCGCATGTCTCCAGCTTACGAGATATGGTCCTCGCACAATCCTGCAGGGTGTGTAGAGGAAGCACCAAGCCTCATTGCTCGCCAAGGTCCCAGAGCTCCTTCATGGCAGACACAGCACTCAAGCCGTGACCACACTGGTTCCAGCACCCTCTCGCTGCCCAACACAGTGCCCCTCTCTCCCCACCGTCTCAGGCCTGCAGTGCAATAGTGCACAGTGGTATGTGTCTCTTAGCACAGGACAAGAAATAGCAAACCTGTTCTCTGTCGAAGAGCTAAAGGCCATTTCTGTGCTAATGGCAGCAAGCCTACTGAGTGAGCGGCTGTGATACCATCAGCTGGGACAAAAGCGAACCCAAGTTTCATTTGGCATGGAAATCTGAGCCCGGTCTGCATAACATGTGAACCTAAAAGGCGACAATCCCATCGTCACATGCTTAATGGCAGCTTCTGGCCATCAGTATATTTGGTTGCTCCGTGCTGTTCCAGACAGTCGAGAACTACAAGGATTTGGTTACAACACTCAGGGCTTCACACAGGGAAGCTGCTGGAAGCTACATGCTCATTCCTTCCATATAGCCCCAATTCTTAGATCACAACTTCTAATTTCTTCTAATTTGTCCTCATGCCCTGGGGTACTTTCTTCTGGTTATCCTCATTGAAAGCAAATATCCATCTTCTGAGAGTGTGTTTACTTTTGGAACTAGTGAGGAGGTGGAACCACCAACCTGAGTGTTTTCCCACATCTGGATTACAATGGTTGGAGGAACTATGGGTCCTCTCATAGGTGTATTGAGAAAAGTGTCAAGTCTCAGTGAACTTCCAGGAATTCTAGAAAGCAATTGCTGTTCCTTTACTCTATGTATTATGTACTATGAATTCTGACCTTCACATAAGCAGAGATATGGTCTCTAGTCAATGGCCCTTCATTAAAGAGGATGAGCAGATCAAGTCGTAACAAACAGAAAAGCTTACACCTGCCTGTGTAGTCATGACAGACACAATAATAAGGCTCTGGTCTTATGATGTGAACAAATTACCATTGATGTTCAAGGATGTTAGTTATTCTGAAAGCCAAGGTTTTTTCCCCGACAGGCATCATACTTACTCATCAATAGCACTTAACTATAGAGAAGAGTCAAATAAGGTCTGCTGTTTCAGGATTTAAAGGTAATGGAGGCCTCCCTCTCCCTTCCCCAGACCATCTTCTCCGATGGCCAGGTACTCGAAATTCTCACCATGAGAAGAGTCCAATGTGTTCATCAAAGTACAAAGAATCATATTCACCCACTTACATGTAATTCTATGTTATTCTATTTCAATATGTACAAATAGCAAGGAAAGGCCTAAAACGTCATCACTTGGCAGAGACCAAGAGGACTGACTTGTGCCAGAGACTGGTGGAGAGCTGGAAAGCAGACACGCCATTTAAGCCAACATGACCGTGCTGGGACAATCCAGCTCTGGGCTGCTTGTAAGAACAGGACACAGCCTTCCACAGGCTGCCAGTTCATCAAGCTTCCAGCCTCACTAGGTTGAGGACAGAGTGTGGGGTGGTCATGCAGGAACTAAACCAACAGATTTCATTCTGAGGAAATACTCAAACAGGGTTTTCAGGGACAAACAGAAGACCAGGATAATGAAGCAGGCAGTAGGAAGATGGCCTGAGTAGCACAAACACCTCCAAATGGGATTCATGATTCATTCCATAAGCCCTCTCTGGAGTCACTCTGATCTATTACATTTGGTCCTGTCCACCAGTGGGGATCCGTTCCAGACCAAATCGAGTCAGAAAAATGCAAATTTCATTTTTAACTACATTATTGAGAATGGAGAAGAGCATGAAATCGTCCTGGGTAATATAAGTTTATGATCCTAATCTTCTGAGAAAGCTGAATTCAATGACCCTCAGAAAGGGACAAAAACCTATTCACATGACAGATCTGCTGATGAAAGGGCCAGGGGATGATAAAAAACCTTTAGCAAGGCACAGAGGATAAAGCGTAGCAAGCTGCTTCTTTAGTAGGAATGTGTTTCTGTTGAACGTTGCATGAAGTTCACTGTCAAGTTGGAAGTTGAGAGCATTTTTAAGAGCCACGAAAATGGAGCTTCTGGCCACTGTATCCCACGAGCCCTGTTGCTGAGGGCCTGGGAACACCCATCACCATATCCAGTGGGTTTGTCTGATTCTCATCTTCCTTAACCAGGATGCTGTTCACCATCCCCTCATTGAAACTGCCTTCTTCTGACTTCTGCATCATTTCAGTTGCTTCTCTCCTTCCTTTTCCAACTACTAATAAGCAAATGTCGTCTCTGTCCTTAGAAACTGGGATAAGCCAAGCTGGAGCCTCATTCGGTCATTTCTACCAGTGGTTCCCAAATTCTTCCAACTCTGACATCTTCCTCATTGGCAGTCTTTGTGACTCCTACCACTCTACATGTCGTTAATTCTCTAACATCTCTCTCAAATCTAGTCATTCTCTCTTAATTTTGTTTAGTGGAGACTCACTATTGTTTCATTATCTCAGACTCAACAACTTGAGGCCCAGTGCAGGTGTTCCATCAGTACCCGTTTCTTCCTTCTCTTGATTTTGTTCCTCAGCTCCAATAAGCCTTTCCAACCAAGGCTGCCCCTCTGAAAATTGCCTGCCCTTGTCTTATGCCCTGAACTGCTTCAGTCTTTGTTGTCTCTCTCCATCTTCCCATCCATCTTGAACAACTTCTAGGACCCATCACATCCCAGGCTGCATGTGATAGCTCCGATATCATGAGTGTCTGGTATACATTAGTGCCTGATAGCTCACATGGCAACTCTCCTTAGAAAGCCCTTCCTTACAAGCTCCTAACTCATTTTTCAGTTTCATCTTCCAACACCGCCACATTGACCCATCTATATGCTTTAGCTGGGGCATTGGTCTGTCAGCTCTAAACATGTCTCCTGCTTCCTCATCTTCTTAGCTGGCAAAGCTTATGCTTGGAAAAACTTTACCACCTCTCACATGCTCTGCCCAAACACAACCCTTCAAGTGTTATCTTAGAATTGTAATAATATCATACAGTCGTAATTGATTGAAGTTGGAAGTATGGGAAGTTTTCTTTTTTTTTTTTCATGATCTATTTACTTAAGCATACAGAGCTGGGTACAGACCAGAGGTGCAAGGGCAGTGGGAGGATTCATCAGAGTCAGAGTGAGGAGCAGAACAGGCCAACTGATGAAGTGCACTGCTGACAGCGGGCAGGTCAGGAGAGGTCTGCCGCATCATGTGTGTCACCTCCGGGGTTGGGATCAAACTCATGCTGAAGTGGTTTTAGCTTCTTTTTTTTTTTTTTAAAGGTTTATTAATTTGTGCATACAGAACTGGGTACAGGCCAGAAGTGCAGGGGGGGTGGGAGGATTCACTAGTGACAGAGTGAGGAGCAAAACAGGCCGACTGAGGAAGTACATTGTTGAGGGGAGCAGCGGGCAGGTCAGGAGAGGTCTTCGGTGCCATGTGGGTCACCTCCAGGGCAGGCGGGGATCAAACTCATGGGGAAGTGGCTTTAGTTTCTTAGTGCTGTGCTTTAATCCGCTGCTCCACCGGAAGGCCTCGGAAGTATGTAGTTTTAATAACCTCATGAATTCTCATTAGTTTTACTGTTCCTCATTTATTCCACTTACAGTTTTCCATGGATTATACTAAGCTTTAATTTGGTAAAGATACTTTCTTTTGAAAAGGCATATGGTCAATGAGACAGTAAAACAAAAATTTTATGAGCCGAATATTTGGGTCTACAAATGCCAGAACCAGTGCTGTCGCCTTGAAGCCTCTTCTCACTCTCTCACACATCTTATATCCATCATTTTTATGGGCCTCTTCATTGAGTCATGTAGATGTTTATCCCTATGAAGATCATCTCTTTGTGTTAACCACACTAGACTGCAAACATTCTGTGTCACTATTGAGGTTTACTTATTTGCTTGTTCTCAGCATCCTACACAGTACCAGCACACACAATAGATGATTGAGTACAGTTGTGTTAAATAGAGTCAAATGAAAGAGTAAATGAGTTAGTGGCCTATAGAACTGAGTTTTAAAAATTCAAAAATGAGGAAAATGATTGGGAGGATTAGGATAGTATTCATGGTTGTTGCTGGGAGACTTAATGAGCAGTGGCCTTTCTTAGAATTACAGGAAATGCAATGATAAAGAGGCTATGGAGAAACTTGACCCATATGAGCAAAGACCTAGAGGAAACATTAAACTGGTAAGGAGAGACAGCTGCCTGCATTTAAAGGGTCGTTATACAAAGTGTTGGGTACAACAGTGGGTAACAAGACTTCCA